TGGAGCTGCGTCTGGAAAACTTGACCCCCTGTCTTTCAGAAAGGACAAGCCTCCACGACGTGGCTGATCATTGTTTGTCTGATCCGCAATTAAAATGAAAATCAACTACACCTAACTGCTCATTGGACGCCTTGAAAACACCGAACCCGCTGTTGCTCTCCCTGACTTGATGGATGGATCAATTCAAGTTGACGGATCATACCGATAACGATTCAGAGGATTGAGGACGAGCTCAGTCTCTAGGGATCAACTAACAGGTGGTCAGTGTTACCTCATGATCGATCCATCTGAAGACGCACGGATGAATTCTAAATCGACTCTCCTCAGACGGCGGAGCGTTGGCGGCCCCGGCCGGCGTTGGTTTGCACTGAAAACTTTCAGGAACGTCATGGAGTTCAGTCTTTCAATGAAATCATGAAAACCTCGTTTAGATCGGTGATCACGCGCATTTGACCCTGCTCAGATTTTGTCTTGGTTTACTATCGACGCTCCGTGGTCATAAGTCATAACTGGCGACGATAGGAATCTAGTTTGAGCGATCTGATGGTCGCTCGTTTAGCTCGCGAGAATCACAAGGCGAACTAGATGCTTCAGAATCGTTGCAAAACCCGTCAGCACGTATCATTCAGGCAGGACTCATTTAATCCATCTCTCACGTGCTCTTTTCATTGGTTTGTTTTTCGAATATCGTGCGTGTATCGGGAATCCATCTGGCCTGCTTCAGATGAGTTTCCGCAAGCATTTCGAACATCTGATATTTTCCTGTTGGCGGCTCACGTTGTGAATGCCCGAACGGGGGATGAACAGATGGGAAACTGTCTCCGAGTTCCTCATTGACGCTCAAATCTCGCATGATTATTGAACTGTATTCGATCGAACTCCATGATGAATTATTTTCGGCGACGATTTCTCAAGAACAAGCATGTACGACAGGGTCTCGGTTCATTGGGTCGAACCCTTCTGCAGAAGGATTAGAATATTGATTACTTTCCAGTAAATTAGCAACCGAATGTCAGACATCTGTCCGACAAAATCGATACAGAAATTTCGCAACACCGAGATTAATAAATAGAAAGCCGCAATTTATCCACATCCTCCGCAATTGTCGGCCGCTTATCATCGATTCTCGATAATACAGAATTAATTGTTTATCGAATTCCTCTAATATATTGTTTCTGACAGAACAACAAACTGGTCAAGCGGGGACTCCGACTTTGCTACCTGCCTCGCTGCTCTGTGCATCCTATGCAAACAATCTTATGAGAGGCGATATCGCTCTATCAAGGGTCACGAGTCACGATGCAAGGTAATTCGTGGAATATATCGAACGGAACGGAACGGCGATCTATTGTTGGAAACCACATCCGATTCCCCTGATCGTTCTTCGCTCGTAGTCTTCCAGCCGCTCTGATGAGAAAAATCAACCCCAGGCATCCTCGAGCGAGAAGAGCTTGGCCAGTCGATCGGGAATATGAATTTCAACCCCCATCCGAAAACTTAATTTCATGGTTTTCTGCTGCCTTCTTCGCTCTGAAAAGAGGGCGTATCCTGGGAGTCCAGGTCCTCGGCTACATACATGGAGCAGAATCCCCGCCAAGCTCCGCCATATCCCGGGAAGAAGTCTGGGGACGATTTGGCTCGGCTGACCGCAATCTGACTGATCATGATCGTCTAGGATGGCCTTATAGTTCTCGGATTCATGAAAAATTTGAAGTTTGCGCCAGTATCAACGAAGTTCTCCAACCGAAAGCGAGGTATCTCAATGCCCGCGACGGGAATCGGGCTCGATAGATCCCGTCGAGAGCAACCAGCTCGTGAAAAACGAGCTCAGCTTCGCGGACTGGCTAATTTCGCAGCGATGAACAATTTTTCACATGATTAGCAACGAATGTATGCGTAACAAGCGCTGGTTCTAGTAATGATAATTTAGCCACTAATCGAAAGTCACGGGAGACAGATGATCTTTGCAATGTCGAGGGTTTTTCACTTTACATGATGATGATGTCTGCTAGGATGAAGACAACTTTGGCCATCACCGATTTGAACTTTCTTTCTTGAGGAGGTATTCGAACTGAGGACTTCGGCTCGTGGGCGATGAAAGCGCGTGAATTCTGTGGGAATCGTCGTTTACTCGTGCGAAGGACCTGTGAAATGTTACGTGTCACCGTCTCAGCTGAGTGAGAAGTTTCGCTGCGAGTCAACATAGTGTTGTGGTCGAGACAGCGTGACAAATATTTGATTCCATTTGTTTGCGTGAACAATCCGACCCTCTAAATTGTTATGCCGTCGTAAGTTCTGCCGCCAAGTTGAGTTATCTCGGAATATCCGACGTTCCGATTATGACCACTCAGCCCTTTCCCGACTCGAGCGTATCCCTTCACGAACGGGGTTATCGGTCAGAAAGAAAACACAAGAAGTTCATCATCCGGAAACTACACTAAACCCCCCAAGCATTGATTCAGTTGAGAAGTGTCTACTTGGGACCAAAATAGATTCTCATCAAAAATGAGATCTTACACAGTTTCCTCAAGGTTGGGACGGTCTAGAGCAGCGACGCGCTGGGACACCGGTCGGGAGACTCCTTCAAGGCAGAGAAACTCGAGGGGTTCAATCTACCTGATAGGCTCCCGCGGAATTTTCCCTCTCGATTTCGGTTTCCTCCGTTCATAGCGAATTCCACCAAGTGATACGGTGAGAATCCTTCAGACTTGACTCTAGAGCCCGTAGCTCGCGATAAATTTGTCGAAAATGGTCGGACGAAAATCTACATGAATTTTGAAGCCTAGTTTGAGCGAGATAGTGAAATGCATTGCAATGGCCGTGTCGGTTTCAGGCGTTCAGATTCTTCGAGGCGTAAAGGAAAATTGACTTTAATGAAACTGATTCAGTCAAGGTTCTCGTGGACTCTTATCTGATTCGCGAGCTCGAGCATAGCGTCAGAAATAGACGCAACAGAAAAAAAGCTTGGACAGAAATGATTGTTGACCGTTTTCTCCCCCATAGAAACAATGGTGCTATGCACCGATCTGACGCGTCTGAAAGACCCGTGAAAATCAAGATCACCTTCGCATACGTACCCAATGGGTGACTATAGCCGGGGATGGCAGATATCACAAGACACGCCGGACTTCGCACTCGGATCGCTCCGGTTTATCGAGAACAAGCGGACGCGGGCCGATCATCATCGAGGGTCGGCGGATAGAGAGCACAAGAACGTTCTACTGAATATGTCACCGAGTTCTCGAACGAATGTTGTGATTCTTGATCGATGACTCCGAATTAGCTGTCGACGGTGAGTCGGGCCTCGGCCTTCGGAAACAAAAACTCGATTTCGATGCTGAGAAATGTGTGTGTCTCGAGAGAACTGTGGGCCCCATGCCTTGAGCTCAGCCAGGGCACCTTCCTTTCAGAGCAGGATCATGGCTCTTCGACCGTTGGAGAATTGCGACGACTTCGATGCTTAACCGCGGACATACCGATTCCAAGTGGTTGGGGAGAGCAGCTCAGACTCCATGTATATGCTGTCTAGCTCCTGTTGCTCTCCGAGCCTGAGTCGCGAGATTCCGCGCTCCTGAGTTCTTCCACGAGACCAGATGAGCCCAATCGGAAGAGAGAATTAGACATCGATCTCCCTTTAATGAGCTTATGCAAATCACCAATATCGAGAAGTGAGTCGACGCTCGCAAAAGGATTAGCCCTCGAAAGGAAACAAGAGGGTCCAGGTTCCGAGGCTTTCGCGAATCGTATTTTCCCATGACGGAGTTTTCGGCGACATTTCTCCCCGCGCCCAACAAAAAGTCAAGTCTCACTGATTCGGGAGAATGATCATAAATCATCGGCAACAAGGATGAGGCTGATGTTGTCTCACACACACGCACCGTTCAACGTTACGTTCAGAGTCGATCAGCTTCCATTGTTGTATGCAATAAACATTGGTGAAAGATGTTTCCTCTTTGGCACCTTCCGCCTGCGACAGTCGTCGCATTGTTTTCTCTAAAGGGCCGACGCTTTCTTCCCACGGAGTTTTTGCACCAGTTCGATTTCTCTCCCGACGAGAAAGTCTCTGAATTTTGTCCCACTAATTGATGTGGTGATTTCAGGGCCGAGCGAGCGACCATACGTGTTTTTTGACGGCGTTTCCTAAACAGTCTCCAGGACGCTAGAAATCGCGGGCTCCGCATGCCCGACCGTGAATTATGTAATTGATGTTTTCGTTTTCACGTCGTTACGAGCGCAGGATTTTTTTTTCGAATCATGCCGAAGTCTTATATCGGATACCACACATAGTACAGTTATTCGTGCAGGGAAAAGTATAATAGCAAGATGAGCCGTGACTCGCTCCGAATTGCCTGCGGTGGCGTATCCGCTTCGGAACCCGTTTTCACGGATTCTTTCTTCTTATTGAGCGAAATGCATCGGAAGCATACGTATGAGTCAATCGTGAGAGCCGCGTAATGGCAGTTATCGATTTGAACTGGAAATGCCTCACGGGTCCTGTGACTTGAAAAAACGGCAGGAACCCTGCGAAACCTGTTCCAGTACTCGCCGCGGAACAGCGCATCTGGACCTGATGCCAATCCCGCATTTCCGAATTCGGTCCATGATTTGCATCAGCTGTCGCTTCAGTATCTTTAGAACTCGCGTCAAGATTTGGCTCCACAGCGACGCCAGCATTCGTTCCGCGGCCACCGCAGCACTCGATTGGTTGGCGATCAACGTTTTGTCGCGCGAAAGGCGAGAAGGTCTTCGGTCAGCGGCGAGGGTTCTCGCGTTTGCTCCCGTCAAGCGCTCACGTCGAGAAACAACTCGATCCAGACTTCTGTTAGTGCTCTTACTATTAAGAAGCGACTTCTGTGTGTTCTCGCTCGAGTTTGCACGCGGACCACTCTTATTTTGTGATTCGCGCAAGGATCGATCCGCTTTGAGCAAACTCCGGAAGAGTTTTCCCGCACAAAAGTGCGCGAGCTCTGGGTGCGCGAGAAAGAGTTCTCGCCGCGGATTTTTTCGCTCGAGATAACTGACTACCGCGTACGCTCGGAATACGGTTTTGTGTTGTGCCTCCATCGAAAAGCTATCCACCGTCGTAGCTTGAACCCGCTTTAGCTTTCGGATTGTGTGCCGTGAGTCCCTAGCCTGAGGTGAAGATGAGGCTGTTTGTGATCGTGGCCGTCTCGGCCGTTGTTGCTATCGCCGGTAAGTTGAGATTCCATTCCCACCCTGTCTCTGTGATCCTTCCGATCCGGCTCAGGGAAACCCCCGGATTTATGGACCGGCGAGCGATCGATGGCATTCGCTCGAACTCCGACCGGTCCACCGAGTCTGGCCCCTATTCACAGCGCGGATAAGAAGAGATTCGACTTCGCAGTCCCGCATCTTTCCCCAGAAACCATCGAGGACCCACGGTAGTGCGCGAGATTCAAGCCTCTCTCGGTCAGACCTTATTCTGTGTCACCAATCTTCACGACGGAATCGATTCAGAATGGTCCGCCCCGGCTACCTATGGTTGCTGCAATTGATTTAATTCTTCGAAGGCAGACGCTAGCCCATATTCTTCTTCGCTTGTCGCTCTTCTCTTGGTCGGGAGTTCAGCATACTCACGCCACGGGAACATTTGCTTGAGTAATGCCAATCTCTCTCATCACCGAACTAACTCACGACGGAAGTCTGTTCCTCGATGAGAGAGAGGAGAATCAGCGAGCACGCCTGGTGTAGCGGCGCGGCGTTCTTCTATCAATGGCGTCTTTCGACGACTTGTTTGCATTTAAATTTTCAACTTTCCGTAGGACTCCTTTGTAAACAGACCCGCTAGTTCCAACGAAGTTCTCGTGATCGGCCAAAAGAGAAGCGGCTGCGTGATCAGACCTTGGATCCTCTTGAATATTCATGGAGTTCTAAAACAACATGTTGTAACTAGTTCCAACCACGGTCGAATATTCGTTTCAAGTTCATCTGGAGCAGTTTGAGATCGATTCCGCTTGTCCGATCTGTTCGAGAGAACTCCCACTGACGGAAAGAGATCGCCACGCCCACTGTGAAGGTGGACTTCGTTCCTCACTGGATGATAACTCGACGGGACTCCGTGTTTCTTTTGCGACGATCCCAATCAAGTCTGAGTCAATTCTGCGGATCTCCGGATGAAGCCACCTATCATCGGCGGACCGGAGAAGTCGGATCCGAGATTCCCCCTCCGAAGCTCCGTTGAGCTCATCGATCCGAAATCGTCACCAACGAGGCGACGTCTAGAAATGTTGTCGCTTTCAATTGCCATTTGTCATTCTCGACCGCGGTGATGGGTGATTCCACTGAAACGATGAGAAGAAGCTGACTGACGGGAGAGACACTTAAAAACCCAGTATCATGGTCCTAGCGTGTGAGGGACAACAATACGATAATCTGAGGAAACCTGTCGGTTTCGAGAGAATCGTCGCTCTTTGTCTAAAGCGTTCGGACTCTCCGGAAACCGTGGGCTTTAACGGTAGCGGTGCGAAGAATAGTATGAGCCGAGTGATGGGTGACTGCCGTGGATTTCGAGGAATTCCCAAAAATATTTGAACTATATGCGATGCTGCCCCGGAATAAAACTCGTGATGAAACTCGAAAGTGCGCGTTTATCATCGGCGGCACAAGACGGTTCATTGTCGATAGCGCATCGGTCTTGTGGTGGAGGCGTTTGGAGTAGGATTCGTGACGAGAAAAATATATATAGAGGAGGGAAAAAGGAGCTAGGATTCGAGCTGAAGCCTTTGTGGAATCGTTGAGGGCTCGATTGTCCAAATCATATGGAATCAATCGCCGCACGGACAGACCCTACGGCTTATCTGGCGATTGACTGACCGAGCGGGCGGGCGAACGGATCAGCGCCAAAGATGGGAGGGCGGGAACACTCGCCATGAACGGACAAAGCTCTCCAGGCTGTAATCTTGAAATTTTCGCTCGTGTTTTTCTCCTAAGTCAGCCCATTCAGTATCAAGCATATCGGATTATTACTCGCGAAAATTGCAAATCATGAGCCTTGACCAAATTTCGAGCATTCGTCCCCGGCCTAACTCAGATTCGTTGTCCCAGCTGTCGGAGACTCGTGAGCGGGACTTGTGAGGCAGGGGAGGCGTAATTTTTACATAACTCCGAATTCATTGTTAGTATATGGTCCGGAACATCCTTGGAATATCATGTGAGGAATCATGGCAACTCTTCTGACTTTTATGTCTATTGGACACAAACTTTCGTGAATGTAGTAAAGGAACGACACGAGTTACAAGCAAACGGATGAAAGATTCGCTAATGCGATCCTATGCCGGTCAAACGGTTTGTCCAGCGAGGACTGGAGTAGCCGCTGTAAGAAATCTGCTCTGCTTTTTCGTTGCACATTTCACTAGACTCATATAATCGTAGTGATCATATTGCACCAAGTGTTGTGCAAATTCCTGCGCGTATTCACTCGTGTACGACTAGAATGACAGAAGCTGAGGAAATCGTCACCGCTACAGGGGCGCCACCGAAAAAGACGTCAACGCAGACTCCAGCAGAGCCTAATCATCGCTGTATAGTTTGCATTTCGCCAATAATTGCCCATGAAAAAGAGCGATCATGGGCGCGGACCAACAGGAAATTCAAAATATTCTATATATAGAGCCTACCGGTATAGAATAGAAGTCTACTCGATCTGGGTCTTGTACATTCTTCTCGGGGTCTCAGAAAGTATTTCGAGACGGAAATCTGCTTCCGAGATCGATTCGCTTCTTCATTTTAGTGGACGTCTGAATAGACCTCCCATCCGCATTGACGCGATCAAGTCGACCACAAGCAGGTCAAAGATCAGCCCTTCACTCGGAGCGGACAATCGGAGCTCGCGCACTCGGTTTCAGCTTCCTCGCCGAGGTCGTTCTCCTTCTCCCGGACCTCCTTCCCGGTCGAGTCCTCATTGTTGTATCCGGTCCGACGCGAGTGGCTTGTTCGAATGACGACCAGCCGACCGAGTTGACCGCTTGATAGTTTCCCGTAGTTGCTAATTCGACCGCTGCTCTAGGAAAGTCTCTCAATCACCGTAGTCTGCTGACGGTGAATCCAGCGGCTCTTACTGTTTGAGAAAAATGGACGTATCGTACTTCAGTCGTAGAATGCCGAATTTCTGCGGAGTAGATCTCCTCCGCCGATTATCAGCCCGGGTGAATCTTTGATCTTCGGCTGCTCATTGATCCGATCGGTACCGAATTGTACGTCCTGCCACGGCAGCTGTTGTTTATGAGAGATTTCGACTGTCGATCGACCACCGAGCAAACAGGCTTCTCGATCATTACAGAAAAGCATTAGCGCAGTCGTACTTACGTACGACTGTCAATGTGAATGAGAAGGCCGACCGATTTGTGTACCACAAATTTTTATCAACGTCAGCAGCAGTAGAGAATTTGTTAATCACCTTGTCTTCGACATTCGGATGCCCGAATCTGATTTCCTCCGGAGCCCACTCCGAAATTTTCGACATGGCAGGCAGCATCTTCTTTATCGGAAGCAGAAGGCATTGCTGCCGATATCTATCAAAAAGTTCCTGAAACGGGATTTATCTCTCCCGGAAATCCCTGAAATCCGGTAGATTCGGATTGATCTTCCATGTTCATTTATTATCCCCCTCATGAATAAACGAATCGGAGTGCTATTTCATTCTAGAGCTTTTCATGACTAATTTCTCATGATCAGAGGTCTCGATCAAAGGACAACGACAGAATCCGGCCGACAGAATCTTGAGCTGAAGAATTGAGATAATGAGACTCGTTGAGACTTCATTGGTAGCACCAAGAAGCTCTGGGATTCCAGTCGAACGCTTCCGACGCATCAGTCGATCTTCGATGGCATGTATTTCTTTCGATGCTCCATAATAATTTTTTCCGCTTCTCGATTCATTTCATAGAGTCAGAGCATCACGGAGACCAAACTGGTGGGATAAACGACTGGAATTCCATTCTCGAGATGGGGAGGTTGGGACTCCGGCTCCAATCAGACACTACTTATCCACAAACGTTTAGGTAGAACGTTCCAGTCATTCCATTCTGCTGATCTGGTCGCGAGAAGAGCGGGAGCAGACGGAATCAGACAATATTTGTTGCGTCAAAATTTGCATCGGCAGAGGCACTGTCGCTCATTGCTTTGTGCTGTGTCTCATTATTTGTTGTACTCAACCGGTATATCGGAATCGGAACTCCGACCAGCGATCCATACATACTCAAGCGATTTCGCGGATCGATTGGAACGTATTCGCGGCTCACCTTAGCTAGTCGCGGATCATCTGATCGATCAGGGAGATCGATCCGATCCCTTCTGAGGCTTCTCACTCACGCTCACTAATCAGGCGCGTCATAGAGGAGAACGAATGGGTGCCAAAAGACGAAAACGATACGCTCTACTGATAGGAGACGCTTCGATATTCCTCCAACCTATAGAATACTCACCCTCCTCGCAAAGATCGCAACAGACACAGATCATTGCGAAATAGAAATTGTTCTGATCGAATGAGATGCGAGAAATTTCTCCACATCATCTGTCATACGACTTCATCCAATTGATTGGACGGTGCAACGGCTGATTTCCTGAGTTCTGGATCGATCACGGTCAGAAGATTGCACAAGACCCCGATGCGGAGAGCCTTATTCAACATCAACGGGATCGTGTTACCTCAAACAAGCATGAATCCGCGCTATTATAGGGATTTGTCGGGATTATCAATCATCGTTCAAGTATCCATCTGTGGAGCATGGCTCAATATGCTCAGCTAGTTGCCATCGAGCTGGGAAAATGTGCCACTATCCGTGAACGACACCACCATTCTGATAAAACTAATCATTCAATCGACCCTAAACAGTGAAACATTGAACTAGTCAGATGCCGGTCTGTCTTTTCATCGATACGTGCCCTTAGTCTAGCAATCAATCGATCAATCATACGATCATGATCAACTCCCAAATAATGAATGGATTGACTGATATACAGACCTGTAATCAACCTACCCAAATTATTTCAAGTTAAACGCCGGAAGCGACGCTGAAAACAGCCTTGTCGGCTCAATACGACATCGAGTATTCAGCAAAGATGACGTTTGACCTGATCGTGAGAAATATTTGCCGAGCTGGCCCTAGCATCGGAATCAGAGTTCTGATTCATTTTCACGGAAGTTTGCTTCATCGACATGGGAACAGTTGCATGTTTTCTCGGAACCTGAACCTCCGATATGTCCATGAAAGCAGACAGAAGACATCGATCTTTCCAGTGCACATAAAGTCACCGGGTGGAAAGCTACTGTGCCTTTCTGACGAGAAACGCTTCGGATGTCGTCGTCGAGGCGGCTTGGCTCCATTCGAAGCACCACACGTAACATTCATAAACGACGGATGCCGTCGTTCGTCCGTCTTCGTTGTTTTTTTCGTCATGTCCTTTGGGATGTTGCTGGTCAGCTGACCGACCGCCTCTTCCGTTGCTTCTTCATTCTCTCCTTTTTGTTTTCATTCCTTGTCTTGGCAAACGTTCACGCGCGCCGGATCGCGCCCTGTCGCTTGCGACGCCAACGATGGTCGTCGGAGCAATGGGACCTAAGGCGCTTAGTTTTGAGCGGAAGAAACGTACAGAATTGAACTTCTTCCCAGGGAATTGAATTCTGTAATTCGATGCCCGCGGAAGGGATGGATCCACAGCGGAGCTGTCTTCGCTCCCTCAACTCTTCGAGCTCTGAGTGCCGACGGAGCGATTAGACATAATGGTGGCGTGAGGTGGCAACTGGATTTGGCCAGAGGGTAGGTTGGTCACTCCCATCACCGTCTATGAAAACTTCCGCTCGACATTGCCAAGGTCGAGTGATTGTCAACAGAAGATCCCCATGTATCAGCCAGCAAGGAGGTCCTACTTTCTCTCATTGAATTGTTGGGTCAAATATCGTTGCCGAAATCGCTTCCCGAGGGGAGTTAGCGAAAGTTACTTCGTTTGTTTACTCCGTGTTGATTGTTGGCGGCTCTTGTTCGAATAACATTCCGTCATACGCGCGAGGTTGCAAACTCGCGAAAATGATCATCGGAGCTGAATTAGACATTATTCTAATGAGCTCAGTCGATGGTGACTAAGCAGTTGGGACACAATATTTACCCACGTATAATATGCCAGACTTCCCCGAGAATTCGAGCTTATGTCGTGCCCCGAATCCGTCTCTGCAACTCCTGCATATTTGACTGTGGGTCGACTTTTGAAGACTTGTCGAATCATTGAGCAGATATCCCACTCCCCCTCGATGATGATCAAGCAATCATCTGTCCCGCTTTGCCGACTGTATCCAAGGAGATACAGCCGGCACTCCACTTGGTGACCAATGAGGAATGCGAGAGGATTAACGGGGAATTGAGGAACAAAAAGTGTAAGGAGTAACCCCCGTCGAATCGCTTGACGTAAGCTGTTATGCCCGCGTCGGACCGCCATCCAATCCTGGTTCTTGACTGAGTGTTGTCGTCACGAGAAAACTTCCTTGAGAACGTATTGCTGAGACTTTTTTTGTCTTCCCCTTATTTTTTGGCTGTTTTGTTTTCGGGACTGGCTCGGAGAATACTCTATCAGGCAAAATAAGCATATACGTAAGCGTGGGACAAATCATCGCAATAACGAGCTGCCAACTGAAGGATGCGCGGTCAGACTCTTCAGGGAATCGTCGCCGAATCCTCTGTTGGGTACCTGCTCGTCAACACGCGAGTCGCGCGCACCCGAATACTTCCTACCCCGGAAAGAATACTGAATAGAGGGAAATTGTACCGTGAGATTTCCGAGGGCATGTAATGTGGAACTCGACGAGATCTCTCGAGGACACCCCGCAGCAGACTTTTGCCGCTGTTGTAGCGGAGGTGATCATGTCCGCTCGAGAGCTGATCCATGCCGAGGCTTCTACTCCTCCAGGTCTCTCTTAGAAGAGAGCGACTAGCTGCTGGGAATCAGAGGCAAGGTCGAGTTTACTGCTACATAGTGTCTACCACAATGAATTCTGGAGTTTGGGTCGGCGGATGGAAGAAAACCGGATTTGCCTCCCGTTCCGGCTCTTCACCGTTCTCTGTGTTTCGAAGACGAAGCAAGACGGACGAGTACTTCGTGGCCCTGACCTGGAGCTTCTGCGGATGATGCTTGATTTGGCGCAATTTTCTGTATCTAATTGGTCAGCTCCCGGTTGATGATCTAGTTGAGCTGCCGTAGGGGTTTCCTCATCGATCGGTTGGGAAGTGAGCGTGTTGCACCGAGACATCTTCATCGATCAACAGCGCGAGCCCGATCACGGAGCAAAATGAACAACTCCGGGACGATTCCCATGCCGCCTCATTGATAGATGAAGGATTGATGACAGACGTTGAACAAAAGGTCGACCAGGAGTACATTCCTAACGGATTTTTTTTCTACAGATGGTCAGTATCGTCGCATCAAATACCGCGAGGATAACTACTATGAGGTGAGTAATCATTTTTCCTGTTGCCCAGGTGGACACACCATCTCTCAGGGCTGGAATGGACATCGGAGATTATGTCAATCATCAGTGTGATAGTTGTTTGAGTACTATTCCGATATCTCAGTGGATAGCCATCTATTTCCGAGGAATCGAATCCTGCTCATAGCTGGGCCTCCACGGAAATGAACAATCCGGTGCGCAATCGCTTCATGATTTCCCGAGCGGTGCTGAACACTGAACACACGGAGGAAACGATTCTTGACCTCCTATGTCTTGTGTCCGTTGATTGCAGAACGCGCGAGTGTTTCACGCTATAGGTTGACCAAAAAATTCGGAAAATGTATAATCCGACGAACATTTAGTCTCCTCCAAATTGGACTTCCGACTGGTTCACCGTCATGTCGCTTCTGAATTCAGGGAAGGCAGAATCGTCGAAACAACGAGCACTCGAGGTTTTTTTTGTGTTTGTTCAGAATCGACGGAGCTAATTGGTCCGTTCCGAGTCCTTGACGTCCGATTTGAGAGGTTCCTTACGTAATGGTCGGCTTCGGCGAAGATATGCGGCGACTTGTGTTCTTATTAAATAGCATGGTGGTGAAGGGGTTGGCGAGCTAAGAACCCGTGAGGTTAAAAAATGCAAAGGATCAAAAATATATTCGAGAGAGAACGTCCGACTAGAATGATAACCCTCTGAGGCCGCACAATTTCTGTTCACCGATTGGATGACTAGCATGGATGTCTTTCTGGCGGGGTAATAGGAAATCCCTTCAAATTAGTCTCAAACTTTCAAACGTCCTCAATTCATGAGTGTACAAGCGTCTCCGCGTCTATGACCGCGACAGGGCGAATCATAATCATTCGACTCGGATAATTTTCATTTCTCCGAGCTATCCATACGGTGCGTGCAACAGCGCTCGATTCGACGTGGTTCCACAGGACTGGTAGTTGAGACTAGTTCAAGCACGAGCGCGACGACCCTGACCTGGGCTAGAATGGGAAAAAAAATTCCCCGGAAAACACTTGAGGAAAGAGCGTGAGAAGCCTATGCTTTATCGGCTCGATTATCAGATTCACTCCGATCATCGGGAAACATATACCCACCTAATGATTCGCTTCTGTCTTCATTTTCCAATCTACGCCTCATCAGCATCTTTATTGGATTTGAGCATTCCCAAGAAGCTCATTTCTGGAAGCCTCCTCGCTGAGTGAGAGCAGCCGCAAACTTGGCAATCAGTTTTTCGAATAGGGACTCACACTCAATCTGAAGTTCCATCCTCGATGAATAAGTCATGAGTCACGATCCACGATTCAGGATGACGGCACCTAGAGGAATGTAAGAAGTACCGCGGAATCATATTCGGCGGTAGGGCGGCGGGAAAACAGCGCGGGTAGGTTCTCTATCGCTCACCTGGGCAGCCCGAGACCATGCGAAGGATATTCAAGTCTCTCCGCCGGATGAACACGATGCCATCTACCGGGGCAAAGGTATCTTCAGATCACCGATTCGATCGATCATCGCTCGGCCGACGAAACGATCGATTGTCTCAACTCAAATCTCACCGACCCACCACCGAACGGGAGCCGTGCATTTCGCCGCCGCGCCGGCCTTCCCAATCGAAGAAGATCTTCGCAATCATCAGTGGCTTCCATGATTCGTCAGTAGTACATCCCACCGGATCGATCAGCGACTCGGATGAAATCTGATCGGTCAAAGCAACGATTGCCTGACTCCTCGTATTCCCCACTCGATTCGAAGCAGTACCTCGCTCCCGTCCATCGATCAGTTGCTTACGAACTTTCGATTCCGAGCAATTTTGCACCTTTCGCCCGATCCAGTGACGTAGCGAGAACTGGAGAATTATCGGAAGAAATTCAGGGGATACAATCAATGCCGCGCAAGGTGATGGCGATGTCAACGGCTGACGTTCGGGCTCAATCAGTCGCGGCGCACGGTAGCGGCGTCTGAGAAAAATTTTCGTCGACTAACGATGGAGCTGCGAAAGAAAATTACGGAATCTTGTTCATTAAACATTGTATATATTGGGCACAATTAAAACGGTCTGAAAAAGTTTTCTCTCCACGCTTCTCATCGCGACTCACTCTCCGGTGCGTTGCGGATAACCTTGACTGGTCGATGAAACCGACGGTTTTTATTTATTAGATCAGGACTCTGGCTACTTCGATCAGAGGGGCGGCGGACCTTTCAACCGATTTGGTCATTAATCTAAAACCTTTTTTCGCTCGAGGAAACGCTTTCGATTTTTGCTCTAGTTTCTGGCGCTGGAGAGGATGTGCTGTCGACCGACAGTCGTCGTAGTGTCGCGCGTCGCGTCCGTTCATGAAAGATTCCCGCTGGTTACGGCGCCGCCACGCGCACCGTCTCCGAGCGCTAATCATCTTGAATTTCTGTAATTGATTTTGCGCCAGCTATACCTATGATTGCTGTTCTTGTCGTCGGCTCGTTCGCGAAGGATTTTGTCATTTCCACTCGCCGAGCTACTAACCCACACCTGGTCATATGGTGCGGGTTACGGATTCGACGGTGACAATGACAATCTTTCAGCCCTGGAACCATTATACATATGATACTCACCGGAGGTCAAGCTACGCGTTTCGGGCGGCAGTACGACGGGACATCTCGCGTACGATAATCTCCCTGGTGCTATCACTAGAACGTTGCGATCGATTGCTCTCCAGGCAGCAGTTCGTACGCGGTGGTTGCTCTTGATTTTTCGTGCTGGGTGCTACCGATGACGCTGCTGCCGCCTTCGCCGTCACGGCTCTGTCCTTTCGTCGAGCCAGTGGACGTACACAATCGGAAGCGATGGGAACTTTACGATCACTGTGCGTCGAAAGGTTATCAAATACACTGAAACCGAAGAGCTTCCGTTCGCTTCTCCCATCGCTGTTGTTTGGTGGTCGGCTGAAGCTTTCGGGGACCGCGATGGGCGGACAGGCGGCTGTCTGGCTGACTTGATCCGCTGTTTGGATGCAGCTCGGTCCGTGAAATTCGTTCATAATTCATCCCCTTGTCGTGTGAGGTGTGATATCGATAAGCGAGCTTCGAGCCGCGGGCCGAGGTTGGTAGAAGAATTAAATCATCAGCCGATTGCCGCGTCGCTGATTCACTTATACGATTGGTTTCGAGCTCCGGTGCAATACGGCGACGGGGTCGTCGTCGGCGACTGACGTGCGACAGCTCGGCCAGACATAATTGCAACATGCACTCGCGACGACACCTTCTAAAAGGACAGTGCTCATCTCAGAATAGTGTGAATGTCACACACACACATCCTTTCGGATTCGTTTTCGAATCCGATGGGGTCGACCTCTTCCGTCAGCGCAGGCGAAGACAAATCGTCGGATCACGCGAAGAAGTCTCGACGGAGTCCCATCTATGTATTGTTGAATTGAGCGGAATGTCGACGAGTCCGGTGGGCGATCATCCGGTGTCATCATCAGATAAACACGTTCATCTAACGATGTCGATCCATTACGGTCAACGATGGTTGACGTTTATCGGGGCGTCAAATCTTTGTTTTCTCACACCTCACAATGCAATTGAAGTCGGACGAATGAGCGCTCGGAGCCGTCAACGATGACGACGACCCCCCGAAGAGTCGCTGTCAATGAAGCAAACCCGACCAAAAGCCAGCCGCACAATGAAACGTGAGCGGACTCGAACGCCCGTCTCGTGAATCGAACGGTCCCGGATTCGTGTTTTGGAGTAGATCCGAATCCGCATTGAGGCAACTGGAGTTCCGACTGCCGATTCTTCTTCATCTTGCGTGTGTGCTGCGTTGGGTAAACAAACAAATAAACGAAAGCAATACGTTGGAACATTTGGCTGGTCCGCCGAATTGAAGGATTGCCGTCGGGCAGAAAGCCCTCTTCGAAAACAATAAATTCTTGACGGAGTCCGACTCGACGGCATCCTATGTAGCGCGCTTGACCAATGGATTGACCGGTCGCTTCAGGAATCGATGAAATAACTCACTGAGCGATGGAGAAACGTGAGACGAGTGAACAAGGCAGATCGAAGAGATAGACGCGTGACACTTAACCTAATTCTCGTCTTTGCTGAACGACTTCGTGAGGCAAGCTGTTCTCAAACTCAACTTTCGCCATAAGACGCCTCACGATGACTATGACGACCCTTTTGACTTCCCCGACTTCTCGTTCGACGAATCCGTGGTTTAATATCCGAACTTTGAACCGTTCGCTCACGAGGACACCCGAAACCTCAGCTGGATCTTTTCGTGAATTCCATCAAGGCTGTCAATGTCCGTCATTGATTTTGCGAATCTACGATCGATTCATCTATCCGAGACAGCCTCTTCCATGCTTGAAGAACCATTTGTGTCAGTACCTAATGATTCGACGCCACCGTACACTTCACATGAACGAATGAATTACCTCGGAGACCTTTGAGCAAATATTTCGCTTCGATAATATTCATAGCTAATTGTTTTTTGACGAGATACGATCTGTTATCCGATTTCCGTCAACATCATTATCCCCGACTCGTTCATTCATGAATCGCGCGATTCCTACTTAGATGCTTATCATCGATCCCTCTGTTTCGGTGTTTTCCGGAGAATGCCCATGACGAAAAATCGGCTGCCGTTTCCGCTGTTCACGCATTATCTGTTCTCGAAGATATTGTGCTATCCGATAGAATTTCGCTCTGTTCGACAAAATCATGGCTATCCGTGGGAAAAAAAGCATATTTGTTTAGAAATTCCATCGATAACAATATTGAGGAAATCGGGGGAGACCTCACAGCGAGCGATCCGGAGCGGAAGAAATCATAGTCCAAAGGATGAATCGTCATCACATATCCAACCCTGGACGCGGAAAGTTCGGTTCCATCATCTTGATGTCACCAAAATCATTGTATAGGAATCAGACGCTCCCGGACCACAGATATTACAGCCTAGGTATGTACTTCCAGAATCAGGCTCCGGCATGAGTTCGGAGGCAAGTACGGAAGCGACGCGACG